TTTGATTTTCAATTCAAAACTTTCTTTTTATTTCAATTCATGTTGATTTTAAATTATTTAGTTTTACAAAAACTCGAATTAAAACCATAACTATGAATAAAATAAGGCACGCTGTTTCAGACGATTAGCGATTGAAAATTTGAACAAGATACATTAACATGTTTAGGGAGAGTGTCAACTAATAGTAGAAATTAAAAAAAGTAATACAGATAAACTATATTTTTGAATTAAAGTTATTTAGCTAACAAACACCACCGATGTTATCTTTAAAATATTTGGGGGGAAAATATGAAGCGTTAATAGCTTATTTTAGAATAATGGCTTCTGCTAAGCCAATTAGAAAATTCTATATTTTTAAATGTCTCTGACTATAAAATATAGTTTTTAAAAAAGTACAAATTCAGGCTACAATCATTTATCATCACGTTGAATAAACGGTATACAAACACATTCTTTATTTTCATTATAGAAGACAGATATTCCAATCCTTGACACATTTTGTTTCTGAATTGGCGACTTTTATTTTTTCCTTTTTTATTTTTAAAGAGAAATGTATATATTCCCACGTGAGAAACAATATGTTTCCCAGTTTTCTGTTCTTTAAATAGCTAGGGTATAATGAAAGCGATAAAAAAAAACAATGATTTTTTTTGTTCCTTTTTGTCAATTGTTTGGCGACAGTAAAGGATGAAGAGGCCAAACACCTGCAGCCAACATCCTCTCTTAAACCACCTCATGGGAAACAAAAAATGGTAATTATGCGTCGATGGATGAGATGTTTTAACCTTTTCACATTCAGTCGTTCAACAGTCAACAAAATTTTTTAAATTGATTTAAAATAAAACAAAAACTTTAAAAACAATGTTTTTCGAGTGGACAAGAAAACAAGTTAATTATTGTCAGATCTAAATTGAAAAAGACATCACTAGAAGTAGAGGAAAGGAAAATACAATAAAAGCAGCAACGAAAACGATATACTACAAAAATTCCTCTGTTAGACGCCCAAAATATATTTATTTAATTAATTCCTACTATTAGTTTACACTCTTCTTATATCTTCTTCAAATCGTTAATGAAATACTTTTTATTGATCCACTCAAGTTCAAATACAATTTTTTCAAACTTGTTGTGGATAATGTTAATACAGTTTTTTTTTAAATATTAATTCATTCATTAAATTCAATTCATTTAATTTTAGTTTTATAGGGGAGAAATTTTTTTAATTATTTAATTAAAAGTAACTAAAAATGTTTCTTTGTTGACCTGATCTGAAATTGACTTAAATTTTTTTTTATACATTACTTGTTTCTGGTAAGTAAAGAATAACCTCGTTTCCTTCTTAAAATTTTACCCCCGAATTTTCATAAATAAATGTGTGGGGGATCCCCAACTAAGTAATCTTCTTCCTAACAAATTTCTGCTAGTTTTAGTAATGCTACCCCGCACCTACTTAAAAAAATGTATTTTCGGTTGACCCACTCATCTATTTTACACAACTTTCTTTAAAAATCATTCACTTTACATTAATGACTTCAACAAGTTTTTTTTATATTTTCTTCTTGCAAAAAACTTTATAAATGTGCTGTTCTTCATATTCTTATCGTAGACACTTTTCATGAAGTATGAAATTCTATCAATACAATCTGCAGACAAAGGTAGTTTACTTTAATTAATGTGCATCTTAATTCAAATAAATGTGTCCTTCTTTAGTTTTTTTTATTGCTATTTTAACATTAAAGATGTTCAATTTCTTACAGGGACAAGTAAACAATTCCCTCTGCTGTTATGAAATGCCAATTTAACGAGGTTCTACTCTTTATGTTTATGAATGCTAATCACTTTCAGGGACCGGATTAACTTTTTTTTGAAGAATACTTTCTGCCGATGCAAATAGAACGCTGTCAAATCGAAATAAAACTTTAATTTTTTTTCACATGTTATCATAAATTAAGATATAGTAAAAATATCTCTTAAAAATGCTTCAATCATTTTGAAATCTGCTTTGACATAAGAGTTGCTGAATAAAACTGTAATATGTAAATAAGTGGCGCTGCAACGGAATGAGATTTCGCTGAATTTCTCAGATTTCGCTGAAATTAGAAATTTGAGATAGTTGATTTGTAATAATGACCTCATTTGTTCGAGAACTTGCGATGGTGATCTGTTGGAAGATTAGAGTCAAGACAAAGTGAGAGAGAAGTGGCCAAATGGGTCGCTGCAGATTCCGTTTCTTAAAAAAAAAAAAAAAAAAAAAAAATATCACAGCTTTTAAAAATTTGGAAACTAATGAATCAGACCCATTTTTTAGCATGCTATTTCGTACATTTTAATGACGATTCCTTTTTTTTGTTGTTGAAATAAATCGTCTGGAGAAAATAGGGTGGTTGAAAAAAAAGTTATCCCCTTCATTGCAATTCAGTGCCTAGGTTGACTTTATTCATCGTCTGACGTATATGAAGCATTAATAATTGCAGACAAATATTAACAGTGGAAAAATGGCAATGCATTATTCATTGGTATTTTAAAGTTCAAGTCGATAAAGAAGTTTCAAAAAGTGTTTTTGAATACATTAAACTGCAAACAAATGATGGCTTTACCGTCATTCTGAATAATTTGGCCACTATTTGTTTGAATATTCTTGAAAATATTTTTCTTCAGCATTTACAACTTCACTCTTCCTATTTTATTTACCTGAACTTCCACTCTTTAAATTTTAAAAAAGAAGTTGAAAGAGAATTTGTAATGAAGCGTCCTCTTAACAGTGGCCGAAAACTATAGAAGAGTGTCCGTACATCAATTTGTTTCTCAAGTTTTGCGTCTATTCCTCGGAGTTTTCTCTATTATATATTCTCAATATTCTAATACTATATAATATTCCTCGTAGAATATATTCTACCGCGATGAATATTGGACGTTTTAAATGCTCACAGAAATGACAGAAGTTGGGAGAAGGTATAAAAAGAACCTTTTGTGAAGAATCGGCGGCATTTCATAAAATAGGGGAGGAAGGTCACGCCTTTTGAGTTCCGGCCATTTTTGTATAGCTGACCTTCGACAAGTTAATGGCCATTATGGAATCACGTGAAGTTTCTCAATAGTAATAATAATGCGCTTATAAAATTAACAACTTATAGTTGCTACTACGATGACAGGACAGCAATTACTCATAATTATTAATCTTTGCCTAATATACTGTATGTACAATAACAAGGTATAGCGTATTGCTAATAACTATGTATTATCCCAAATTATTGCGTATATATTTGAAATCGTATTTACTAGTTATTTTTAACTATCATTTCAACCATAACTCATTACTCATTAACCCATAACTCATCTCAACTACCATAACACATTTTGATGCTCAATTTCAGAATAAAATATTTCATAGAACACTTAATAAGATATTTTGAAAAGGGTCATAACTGAAGCATATTTTTCATTTTGGACCTCAGCCAAAATTCACAAAACCCCACTCTCAAATTTAGGGTTTCGTCTTTTACTAAATTAATCTAAATTTAAGATTAAACGATGCAACTTTGTACAAGTTCACGTTTTAATTGATTTTATAGAATTTTGAGTAGACAAATTTTTCTTTCCCCCATTTTTTGCGTCATAAAAAAATTGGAATAAAAGAGATTTTAATGTCTTTACGTAAACTTTGCTCATATCCCTTCTCCTCCTTGTCAAAAAAAAAAAAAAGCCCTTGTTAGCTGCTCACGTAAAATTTGAACGGCCCTTCATCATTTCTAAAGATGAAATATATAAATTCACTTTTCGTAAAACAAACAGCTAATCATAAGAAATACAGGTAAAATGTTCAAATATTATTACTGAGCAGCGATGGCTAAGGGGATAGAGCATTCGCCTTCCAATGAGGTGAACCGGGTTTGTATCCCATTGATGGCTGATGGCCGCATCCGGCTTACACAGATCTCAGGGCTGACGTGAAATACCCTCAGAGGTAGACGGATCATGATTCATGAGTTAAAATCCCCTTGTCGTCAGGCTAATCGTGGAAGGTTCTCGCAGTCTTCCTCTCCATGTAACGCAAATGTGGATTAGTTTCATAAAAAAAGGCAAATTTCTCCCAATACTTGAACCAAGAGTTCCCTTGTCCTCTGGATTGGGTTCAAAATGACAAGGCTACGGAGTTGAACATGAGTAATCCTAAGCCCAGATTTGGGTCGACTGTTCAACGGCGGTTATGAAATAAAATAAATAAACTGTAATTCTTGACAACACTGGATCAATAAAAGTTAAAAACTTTGTTAAAGTTTTTTTAACTTTGAGTCTAAGAACTTTGTTTAAGTTTCGTTAAAAAAAAATGGTTTTGCACATTATGTTGGTAGAGTCGAAGTTGTACATAGATTTGGGGATTATGCTGATGAAAGAAAGAGAGGGATAAAAATTTACGAATCGGGAATTCGGAATTCATTTTTCCCGAAAAAAAAACATTTCTCAAATCTCAAGAGTAGAAATAATTACTAAACTTCCGTTGCCAGTAACTGCTTCTAAATACACATTTAAAGACCACATTTCAATTTTTTTGATAATAGTAAAATAAAAAAAAATATTTCAAAATGTTTTTCAAATAAACAAAATTGAATATCGATGCGGTGATTTCATTTTGTCTTTAATTATACATTTCTGAAATCCGAATAAATATTTACTTAACAAGTTGTTGAGTTTTTCTACACTCAATCTGCGTTTTGGGACTAAAAACAATTTTTTTTCTTAAAAAATTATGGAAAAACTCTAAATTCCTTTTTAGTCCAGATACTGACCAGAATACAGTAAAACGTCCAAAGTTTTGTTTAAAAAAATTAAAAATTTTTTTAACAAGAATTTTAAAAAAAATTTAATAAATTTTTTTTTGACAAATATGTAAAAAAATGTTCATTTCAGCAATCCTATGAAATAGAAATAATAAAAGAAGGTTTTTGTAAATCTCACTCAAATCCATTTGTGTGTGTGGAATAAAATAAAATCCATTAAGGATGAAGAATGGGAAATTTCTTGAAGGAAACTTTTTACCCAAAATGGGTGTTGTTTTGGGTTTGATGGCACCTTATCAGTTGTGTTCCAAGAGTAACAGTCAAAAGTACGTCGTCATTGCATGCGTTTCTATGGCCATCACTGCTGTTTGATCATTTTTTCAGAATTAATTTTTCTTTTTACCAGCGTGTATTTTTAATGTTTTTACATAATAATTTTAAGAAATTTTATGTTATGTTAATAACTAACTCATTCATAATGACTGTCGTGCGGACGATCTTAATATGAGGAAGGAAATTGTTTCAATATTCTTTTCCTTCTTCAGTAAAAAGGTTTTTTTTTCAATCTATAACTTGAAATGTTGTGGACAGTCTGTTCAGGAAGAAAGAAAAATTGCAGTAATACGATCACACTATTTTAGATATTGTTTTTATTTATTTATTTATTTTTTTTATTTTATGCGTTCTCGAAGTAGATTGCACTCACACCCATGATCATTTATTTGATTTGAATAAAATCCATAGAAATTCAAGAAAAAATAGGATTTTGAAGAAAAAGCTCTTGTTTTTGTGAATTTCGAAAAAGATGTAACATAAATTCGTGATCGTTGCTTGGATTTAAGTGAAATACAAAAAAAAAAAGAACGAAAACATTAGGAAACGTTCTTGTTTTTGTGTATCTTAAAGTAGATTTTACGCAAATCATTGATTCTGCAGTTTTTGACCCAAATAAGAAAATTATAGTGAATCTCTAAAAACATTCACTGAACGGCAGCAGAAACAAAACAGTTTGAATGGACAATAATTGTGTTTTATGGAGGGTAAAAGAGATCTTATGAGCTTCCGTCTGACACAAAAATTGTATGTAGGTCAATGGTCAAGACCGGAGTCACACTCAGTGGCTAATCATAAAACAAACACCCAACCCTTCAATGCCAAGGTCATCGATAATTATCGCGGTGCAAATTAATGAGGGTTATTATTGGGCATCCGGTTACACGTTAACTACTTCATGGAACAGAATAAAAACACAGGACAATAAAACAAACTCATCAAAGAATCCTTGCACTGTGGAAGATATAGGCACATTTTTTTTTACGCTAATCTATGTTTGCTTCAAAAGTAGTGCGCTACCCCAACTGAAAGCCTCCACACGGTCACTTAAGGGTAATCCGATGAAGGCAAACCAGTTGACGAAAGAGCCATTTAATAGAAAATCTAGTAAAAACAGGAAAGTGGTAGCAAACATGTGTCTAAAAATGTGTTTCATTTATGAATAGGATTGGTTTGTCCTATGCACTTGTCAACCACTACAGATACAATTCTCAAACATACACGATACATTTCTCTCAATTAATTTTAGAATAGAATTTGGGTTCATGCGCACAGCTGGCTCACTTTTTAATGAGTCTGCGCAGACTACTTGTAAAATACCGTGTGGAGGCTTTCTGATACAGGAGGCTATCAGCATTAACACAATTATCCTACATTTTTTCTTACAATAAAAGCTCGAGAATGACTACACTGTCAAATAATGATTCAAAAATTGTATGTTTATAGCGCGCATTATAAAGAGATTTTTCTCCTCCTATTTCAATTCACTAACATAATGCATTAATATCGATTAAAAAGGTGACGGCAAAATCGTAAAGATAGAAAATATCCGTACAACTTCTGTCTCATCAAGTTATTTTCCTTCTTAAAACAGGGCCTCCCTGGCCGAGCGGTATCGTCGGTCCAAACGCTCTGTTAAGCGTGGAGGTAGCGGNAGCCCCTATATTGAGCACACAAGTCAGCAAATGTATGTAATTTCAATAAATCAATCAATCCTTCAAACAAGCATTTTATTTTATATATTATAACCGTCGTTGAACAGTAGACCCAATTATGGGTCTACCAATACCGTCGTGGAGGATTTTATGATGGAACAAGCCTGTATTTTCGTTACATGGAGAAGAAAACCTCCCATGGTGGGCTTCTAACCCATACTCCGTCTACCACTGAGTATATTTTACATGGGCTCGGTGGGATTCGAACCCAGTTCACTTTAATGGAACTTTTTTTAGGAATCCTGCTACACAATGAGTGATCCAATTACTATAGCTTATGATGCAAGGCGATATTTTCAAACGGATCAATTTCAATAAATGAAATAAACAATTTAATTTTTGAGCTCCAATTTACCTCATTTCATAAGATGTTATTTAGTCAGTCTGTTGAGTGAAAAAACTCTTTTAGTCATTTATAGCTAAAAAAAGAGACTTGTATGCTGTATTTAAAAAGAACTTACTTTTTTCAGCATTCCTGTTTTGGCTTCTTTTGAACTTTATGATGGAAAAAACCTGTATTTGCGTTACATGGAAAAGAAAACCACGAAAACCTCCCACGGTTGGTCTCGCGGCAAGGGGGCTTGAACCCATGAATCCGTCTGCTACTGAGGATAATTTACACCGGCACTGAGGCTAGTGCGAGTCGGGTGTAGAATTCGAATCCCTTCGCTGGGATTCAAACCCGGTTCATTTCATTAGAAGGTGAACGCTCTATCCCCTGAGCTACCGCGTCTCTAGGGACTAATATATTTTACATTATATAACCGTCGTTGAACAGCAGACCCAATTTTTGGGGTTCAACTCCTCCTTCTTATCTTCATCTGAACAGCTGGAGCCAATTGCCAACTGCCTGGTGAACGAACTATAAATTGAAAAGGGTAATTCTTATAGGGAAGATGGTCTGTCTGGGAGCTGCAAATGAAACTCCTCATTCGTCAAAAAGCGATTCGTGAAAATAAGCTGCGTTAATTATCGAGAAAAATAATGCAAAATAAAACGATATTAAGTCGTATTATTTTCAAACTGTGATCGAAGGTTTAAAATCGTTAATATTCTAACATCAACTTCAACGAATCCTTCGAAAAATTTTATTTTCATAAAAAAATTGGTTGTGAAATATGTGTTTTTTTTTTTCCAAATATTAAACTTGAACTACTTCTGATTATCAAAATACATACATAAATAAAACTTAGGAGTGCAGAATTATCACTGAAGAATTATCACTGAATTATCACTAGTGCATGATTATCACGTTATTTCAAATTGAAATATTATATTTACGATGTTGCTTAAGTACTTCAAATTTTCTATAGAAACTAGGAGGCTCCGCCCCCTGCTCGCTAACGCTCGCCAATCCCCGAGAATTGCTACGCAATCCTATGTGGTTCACGCCGTGAACCATGACTCGCTGCGCTCGCTCGCCAATGAACACAATGTTCTAGCACAAAGACATAGTATATTATTATGAAAGACATAGTATTTTATCATCAAAGACATAGTATTGTACTTATGTAGAAGAATTCTACCAATATTCTTATTGGCTATTAAAAAAGTATATTAGCTATTTAGATTGTACATGGTGAAAANGTAGCCGCAGTTGTAAGGGACGTCATTATAACTCCTGACGCAGAAGATCCTTTCAAAAAGCTGAAAGAAGAAATTATTGCACGCTGCGGGGAAACAAAGTCCCAGGAAATTCGACGTTTACTCTCCGGAGAGCAACTAGGAGATAGAAAGCCCAGTGAACTTTTGCGCACTATGCAGAGAAGAGCTGAATCCCACGAAATCTCAGATTCTCTACTTTTGGAACTATTTCTAAATCAGCTACCGCAGCATGTTCAGTCGATATTGGCCGCAATCCCTTCACTAAGTTCAACTAGAGCAGCAGAAATCGCTGATAAAGTAATGGAAGTGTCAACTTCAAGTGAAGTTAGCGAAGTTTCTTCAAACCAACAATGCACCTTTGAACTTTTAGAAGAAGTTAGAGCTCTACGAAAGGAAGTAGCAGCATTGCGGACACGTAGCAGGTCTCGCAACCGAAATTCTGCACAGCCGAAATTCTACTATCCCCACACATAAATAAAACAGTGCAGAATTATCAGAGTGCAGAATTATCACTGAATGCATAGTGCATGATTATCACGTTCATTCAAATCGAAATATTATATTTACGATGTTACTTAAGTACTTCAAATTTTCTACAGAAATGGTTATTCTAATATTATTTTATTTCATAACCGGGAAAGAACTAATGACCCAATTCCGAGTGAACGACTATCAATGTTCAACTTCGTAGTCTTGTTGTTTTGAAGAGGACCTAGAAGATAAGGGAACTCATGGATCAAGCAATCGGACCAACTGGATTTTCGTTGGAACATTTTAATGGAGCTAACACGCATTTGTGTTAGAGGTAGAAAAAAAAAACGAAAGCCTTTCATGATGGGAAAGCCTTTCACGGATGGATCTGTCTACCACTAACTATATTTTAGCAGTACTGTGGTTGTTTCAAGCTGATAGCAGAATTAGTATCCAACAGCTGTCATTGGGATGCAAGCCTAGGACCTTTCAGTGAGAAGCGAACGCTCTATCTCGCTGAGTATCACCAGTCAAATTTAAAATTATTAAAACTTTGAGTTGGTTATTATATTTCGTAATACATCAAGCGCGATAAAGTTTTTCTTTAATGTATCGAAGGCCCTGCCGAATACAACCTTCAATCGATTAATGAAAGTGGCTCGGGAACAGCCTGAAGCACTAATAGAATAGGCACACGTGGCTTCCATCAGTCTCAACCAAAACAGGATGGACAGTCGGATCACAATCTTACACGGCCCAATGAGTTTTCCCAATTATCTACCTTTACAGATGAGGTGGGAAACGAGCAGACAACAAAGGGTATGTTAGTTGGGAAGTTAGTAGAGCACAAAGCAAACTATCCTAATTAAGAAAACTTAATAAGTTAAAAAAATATAAAAAGAAAAGTAAGAGAAGAAATCTTCTCTGCCTGCGACACACTGGGCCTCCCTCAGTCTCAACCAAAACAGGTTGGACAGTCGGAACACAATCTTACACAGCCCAATGAGTTTCCCGAGCCTCTAGCTTTACAGATGAGGTGGGAAACGAGCAGACAACAAAGGATATGTTAGTTGGGAAGTTAGTAGAGCACAAAACAAACTATTCTAATTTAGAAAACTTAATAAGTTAAAAAAAGATTAAAAATAAAAGTAAGAGAAGAAATCTTCACTGCCTGTGGCACACTAGACCTCCCTCAGTCTCAACCACCCAATGAGTTTTCCCGATCCTCTACCTTTACAGATGAGGTGGGAAACGAGCATACAGCAGAAAGTATGTTTGTTGGGAAGTTAGTAGAGACTATAGAAAACTATAAGGAAAAATAAAATTACGTTTTAAAATAATTTTTATCAAATTTCTGAGTTCAATTTGTAATATATCTTAATTCTAATTACATAATGTAGAATTTTATTGTATGCATAATAAATTAAACCAGAGGAAAAAAATTGTCTATGATATAGATTAATAGCCGAAAAAAATTTAACAAATAATGAAATATCTAAAATAATACATATTTTTATGTAAAAAAAGAGGATAAAAGTATAGTACAAAACGAATTCTTTGCTTGAAATTTATGTGGAAAAAAAATGATTAACATTAGAAATCCTTTAAAAAATTAATAAAAGTTGAAGTCTCCTTTTGCATTCCATTTTCATTCTCAAGTAATAACAATTCGTTAAGAACAAGATAGATATAAATAAACATATAAATAGTAATTAAGAACTGAATTTTTAGATTAAATTACTTTAGGCTGTTTTTCAATGCCATTATATACAGTCCGTGGTCACATTGTAAGACGCATTATAAGATTCTATGTAAAATCCTAATTATCAGGTATTACTAAACCCTAAATACATACCCATTACGTGTATGTTGCAATATAAAAGTAATATGAACTGGAGCAAATCATATCATTATTAAAAAACTACAGTGTGTCTAATAGTTTGATCTAATTATCATAATATACTAATATAATACCTGATATAACAAATATACTATCTTTATATAATCTGTCATCTGATTTATCCAATAGGCTAATTTATATTATATATTGTCCAATTTAACCAATTGATACACGGACGTGGCAAGTGCAAACCGGTTTCAATCATATAAAAACAATAATGTTGGAAAGAACCTGATAATTAAGATTTTACATAAAATGTTATAGAGCGTCTAATAATTTGGCTAGAGACTTTATATTAAACAAAAATGGTATTTTTAATTTCAAGGCATTTTTTTCCAATTCATTTCACATTCATGTTTTGAGATAATTTTTAAGATCTATAAACTTAAGGGAAAAAGAAAACTTATTATATTTAAATTTTAACTATATATGAAGCCGCGTGAAGTATTTTTCCACCAAGTGTCGATGGGAAACTTTTTGTACTCTTATGATAAGACGGCCATCTGTTGACAATGTAAAAAAATAGGTTTAAAAAAATACCAATGAGGTGTTCTTCTTTTGCATAAATGTGGGAAATGTTTGGCCTGGGCCAAGAAAAGAAATTAGTACGAGGGAGCTACTTTTTTTCTTCTTGTGTGTGTTGTACATTTCTCATAGGGAATATTGGTAATTTCAAACGCTGAATTCGTTAATTTTATTTTATTTAATATCCGTCGTTGAAAAGCCGGCTCAATTTAGGGTACTAATGTTCAACTTTGCAGCCCTGTTTTTTTTAACCCAATCCAGAAGACAAGGAAACTCCAGGATCAAGTATTGGGAGACATTTGCTTTACTGGTGGACTTTTTGACCCAACTAACCAGCATTTGCGTTACATGGAGAGTAAAACAACGAGAACCTCCCACGGTTAGTCTGGCGGCAAGGGGACTCTACCCCATGATCCGTCTACAGCTGAGGATATTTCCCGTCAGCACTGAGCAAGCCGGATGCGGGATTCGTATCGACCTGTCATCGCCGGGATTCGAACACTGTTTACCTCATTGGAAGGCGAACGCTCCTAAGACATCGCGGCTCTGTATTCATTAATTTGGTTAGGCAGGGATAGCCATGTTGGCAGGGCACTGGACTCACGTCCGTGAGAACGGAAGTTCGAATCACAAGGCCGGAGACTCACCGTGTAGTAAATGGTGACACGTTAAATCTATCGGGTCACTAAGTCCCCCATGTTTCCATAACATACCTTAAAAATCATCTCATCAGTCTGGATGATTTGAAGTGAATTTAAAACAACCTCAAAATAAGCTTAGGTATAAATAAAATGACTTCATATACCTCAATAAATACCTTTTTATCGTTAGTTGAAATAAGGTAAAAATTTTTATACCTCAAAAATACCTCTTTTGTTACAAGTGTAAGAAAATAAACCTGGTATACCTTAAAAATCTCCTTATCAGTCTGGTTGATTTGAAGTGAATTTTAAACAACCTCAAAACAAGCNGGTATTTTCTTCCACTCGGCTTGGACAAGACATGCAAGTTCCTTCACCGATTTTGGACGGGTAGTACACTCCTTAATCAGGCGGTCCAACTCGGCCCAGAGGTTCTTGATAGTCTCCAATACCCCCAGAGGAATTGATTTGTTATGGGAATATGGAGAATTTTGCGACTCGACAGATTTAATGTGCATCAGTCACTTTACTACACGTAGAGTCTTCGGCCGGCGGGATTTGAACCCACGAACTCTCGGACATGGGACCAGCGCCCTACCGACCAGGCTATCCTGGCCCAGAAATTTCATTAGTTGTTGCAATATGGATAAATTATCCAAAAGTTCTTTTTTTTTAACGGCAGGTACTGAACTTTTCGTTCTTCACCTGGGAAGATGCCGGAAGTGTTGCTCATTTGCTTTGATTTTTCTGAACTTATTCTAAAATAGGTTTCAAAAAGTAACCATACAAATTAGCTACCTACATTTCTATTCCAGAGTTTAGTTTTCTTAATTGTACAGCATTTGTATTTATTTAAAATATATATTTTTTTGCATCTCGTATGTTTACCGAAATATTCACACTGAATAGACATTTGAAATCGCTACAATTTTAAATGCATTCTAGCCATTAATTCATCCATTTTCAAGAAAAGAAATTAGGAATGCACATCAGTTTTAGATACAATATGCAAGTTTCGAACACAAATTACTGCATTCATTCTAAATATTGCATAATAAATAATGTGGCATAATTGTTTATACGTAAAATATACTAGATACTCAAAACAGCTGAAGTTTAAATTATTTAATATTAACATCAAACTTAAAATTTTACAGTTAAATTTATATTATTTTTTTCCAAATCCCACCTGTGTTAACATCCGTCAATTCAGGCATATACAGGGCGATTTTGTTGGCCTCTCTTTCAGGGGCACCCTATTAGGTGGGCCAACGTCGCTCCCACAGTGACGACAGATAGTACAGAGAGAGAAAGAACATCCATGCCTTGCCCGGGATTCGAACCCAGAACCTTTCTGATGCAAGGACAGTTCCCTGCCCCCTACACAGGCCGTATTAATATTATTACCCTTTCTTGTTAAAATATATCCAAGAAATTTAAATCAGACAAATCTTGTTAAATGAAAAAATTACTAGTCAAGACATCTTTTATAAACATTAAGAGTCAATTTTAATTAAGCAGTTTACAAAATTAAGTTAGATTAAGAGGGATTAAACATACCTGCCGGGGAGGCTCTTTTTCTATTATTCGACCTGCTCTATTGATAGTGCTTTTTCTTTATCCAATCACCGACAGGCATGCATATCCATCTCTAACAGCCTTTCAAGCTAAAAGCTTGCATTTGACGAAACAATTTTGAGAGCCAAACCAAAAACGAAACTGCTCAGTATCACATGACATCCCAATTTTGATGCTTTGCAGTAGGGATGGCTCCCCTTGCTTCGGTAGCCCGACGACCTGCACGCGAAGTCGAGCATTTTAAGGTAGAACTGTTTAATGAGGACCAATACCGCACACCCTCTGTCCCTACGCAGACTAATCCAAGTGGATGATTAGAAAAGAAGCGAAATAACAAATAAGAATCGAAAGTAGGAATA